TTGAACAAATATGCTCAGGATTTGCATTTTTGCAGCTATCAAGAATATACATATACATATACACATACATATACATATACATACACATACACATACACATATATATTTCCAAGTGGGATTTGAGTAATATGTACAACCTGATAGAATGAAAGAGGACACAAATGTTTAAGAGTTTTATGCCTAGTATTGCAATTTGAATATACTGTGATGTCTTTTGGCTTGTTTTAAGTCTTGGGGTTCGCAGCATTGAAGTGACACACACTCACATTGTAACCAAGTTCTTCTTTATTTATTCCACATTACCACTCAGTAACCCGACAGGCTTGCAGGCCTTTTATAATTTTCCGAACAGCCTATCATAAATCTCCTTTGTTTGCGCCTTGCGCCTGCACGCAAGGCCGGTGCCAACCAGTCGGGTCCCAGACAGCTTTTGAGTTGCCCGGGACCATTTGCAACATTTCTGGGCCTTCTGAGCTGCCTCATCAGGCCCAGAACACAACACCCCCCACTAGATGAAATACACAATTACATTTGTTCCCTGGCAGGGGGAAAAAAGAATTCCCCTGCCCAGCACACAGGCAAAATATCTTTATAAAATAATAAAGTTAACTTAAACAAACCGCTCTCCAAAATTATAATTAGTGTGTTTATCTGTACCAAGTGTAGATCCCCATCACCCAGTTATAGGCCAGCAAGGTTCCTTTGTGATGACAGAAACCTCACATAGTCTCCCAGATGCTTGGGAGGGGCCTTAGCCCTTTGCGACCTACACAAGGTCAGGGAGGGTGCCTGGCCTGTCAGCTCACCTGCCCAGCTAGGCAGACCAGGACTTTTACTTAATGGTGCCTGGCCTACTGGCCCATCTGGTGGGCTTGATAGACCAGGACTTTGATGCCCATAAATGATAGGTGACCCCCATTGCAGTGGGATGGCTGAGACTTCTGGACTCCAGCCAGATTCCCTTGGAGGAGAGCAAATCCCCAAGACCAATGGTGGAGCAGAGGTCTCCCCTTCCACCAGAGACTGCTCCTGGGAACTTAGTCCCTTGAGCCTGCAACCAGTCTCGGATGTGACCTGCGTTGCAGCTGTGCCCCAATAGTTCCAGTCCCCCGTGTAGTCAGGAGCCGCCTCTATGGCAAACACCTCTCAGGAGAATTCCTATTTGGTGCACTTGCGGATGCGCAGGCCACCCCCTGGGATGACTTCCTATTCGGAGCACTTGCTGAACTCTGGGATGACCCTTGCTCACCCACTGGGACATTAACAGTGCCCTGTGGAAAACCCCAGGCACTGCAAGACGGATTCCCAGGATTTTGATCTGAAGTGTGAGTTTGTTCCTGGTCTCCCTCCCCCCCCGAGAGCAGAGCCAGGAGCAGAAACGTTGGGGGACAACCACCAGCGCAGTTGCTCAATATGACGCCGAAGGACGCAGCCATCTCCAAGGTCACTTAGTATGAGAGCAGCCCCGATATCTTGCAGATGACAGCAGAGACCCAGAGATGTCCAGGAGCATAGTTCTTTGTCCAGACCTGATCACCCACCTGAAGTCTCCTAGGTGCCTGCGGCTGTGACACCTGTGAAGCCACCCGGTCTGGGTGCAGTCTGTCCAACTTTGTGATGAGTCGGCGACCCCAGCAGAGTTCAGCTGGGCTCTTTCCATTGGCAGTGCATGGTGTAGTGCGGTGTGCAAGAAGAAAATCTGCTAACCTGTGATACCAGCTACCGTGCGTGATTCTTTTGAGTGTGTCTTTGGTGGTGCGCACCATCCGTTCAGCTTGCCCGTTGGTGGAAGGGTGGAAAGGAGCTGACGTTGTGTGCCAGATCAAGTTGGCCTAAAGGAAAGCCTGGAACTCAAAAGAAGTAAATTGAGGACCGTTGTCAGAAACGAGGACATCACGGAGGCCATGGGTAGGGAAGATTCCTCTCAACATCTGGATGGTCCTGGCAGTAGTAGTGGAGGAGACAGGTACAACCTCTAGCCACTTGGAATGGGTATCCACCAGGATAAGGAAGAATTGCCCCTGAAAGGGCCCAGCATAATCTAAATGTACCCTTGACCAAGGGGTTTGTGTCTCCCCCCACCTGTGTACAGGGGCCTGAGGCATTTCAGGCCATGATTGTTGGCACACCTGGCACCCATGCACCTGGGCCTTGATAGCTTTATCAAGCCCCAGCCACCAAAGATGGCTGCGTGCAAGCGCTTTCATGAGCACAATGCCCAGATGTCCCTGATGCAGAGAGGACAAGACTCTAGACATCATTGAGGCTGGGATAACTACTCTACTACCCATAATAGGAACCCCTTAAATGTAGACAGTTCATGCCTTCTTTGCCAGAAGCTTTGAAACATAGCATCTGGACATGTGTAAGGCCATCCTGACAAGACCCATGTCAGCATGCGTGTGAAACTATAGAAAGCACAAGCAGTCAGGGACTAAGTGTTCCAACTCTGCCATGACAATAAAATGGCTGGACATGGGTTAGTGTTTGAAACTCTGCATTGATCTTCAAAAAGCTCTGGTGGCCATTAGTAAGGACAAATATCAATAACTATAATTTTAACTAATTATAAAAGTATAATTTAAATAATTCAGTGAAAACAAATCAGTCCTACCATGTTCAGAGATATCCATTTATCCAGCTGTGCAATTTTATCATCTAGTTCTTAGGATCAAAAATCTTATTTATGGGAATGATGTACTGTAAATAGATAATTTTCATACAATGTAAATTTCATGCTTTTTAATCAGGACATATTAAGAAGAAATTAAATCACCTAAACTATGAAACATTCCATTAACCCTTACTAAATTATAATTTGTAAAAGGTTAAAATACCCTGAAATCCATTATAATGGATTTAGTATGTTAAAGATGTTCAAGCTAATAAGCAGATTGGAAAAATGGCATATTTTAATATAAAATGAGCTGAGACAATTAAAGTACTTCCAGAGAAATTCAGATATAGTTCTAGCAATAAGAATTCTTCAAAGTATCTTTCAACTACTTTAGTACAAATATAATATATACAATATCTTGCAATTATACTAGTTGAAAAATCTGCATTTCTTTATATTTTCTGATATTTAATTTGAACTGCAGTAGAAGTAATGAATGCAACAATTCTTATGTATTCAGTGGTCAAAATAAGTGGGGGCAGACTGATAACTTTTACTATAATTCTGGAATATTTCCAAATTTGGTCCACACAAAAGTTAAATTAAGAATTAGTGTTACATTGCTATCTATAATTTAAGTAATCCCATGAAGATAGACAAAATAATAAAGCAGATTTCTCTATGTATATTATATATTAACTGTGAAATGTTAACACTATATTTATTTATACAATAATTTGTACGTTACTTATTTGAGAAATTCAAACCAGTTTACAATAGTACAAAAGAAAATGCAACCACATATATACAACAATAAAATATACAAATCTAATCAAGAATTCTATTCTATTCTATTCTATTCTATTCTATTCTATTCTATTCTATTCTATTCTATTCTATTCCTATCCTATCTATCCATAATCAGCAGAACAACTTTATCTGCATAGAATTCTAAAAAGTCAGAGCAGTGGAAGGTACCATATATTTTAGGAAGCAAGATCAAAACTGGCTAGAAGTTCTGAAGGAAGCCAGGAGATTATCCATGTAGATTAGAGCCAGCATTTTTAATTGGATCCTGAAGCAAATAAGTAGCCAGTGCAATGGCCATACCAGTGCTGAATTTGCTGGATACATTTAACATTTTGGCCACTGAATTTTAGATAACTATACTGAATCATCTTCAAAGCCCCCTCTAGAATGTGATGCAGTAATTTATATAGAAATGATGATGTCATGTATAATAGTCATTAGGGATTCCCAGTTCAAAAAGGTGTACAATTAGAATACTAATTGAAGCTGGGCAAAAGAATCACTGGGCAGATTTTCCATATCTGTAGTAGGAAATCCCAATTCAGAAGAACCACTGAATCACAGACATGCTTCTTCAGAAATGAAATCCTATAAAGAAGCAACATTGGAATCAAAATTAAGCCATATTTCTTATAAACAGCAGAAAACATGTAGGGTCTAAACCTGAGCTTGTTTTGATCCAACTAAGTTTTCCCAGAGTTATGAAGTAGATGAAGACTTTTACAAAATTCATGACATACCCTCCAATGGTAATGATGAGGTAAGTATCATTGCCATACTTACAAATTTCACCATAATCAACTGGTAAGGTCTTTAATACACATGTTCTTTTAAAAACTTTTTAAAACTACTTTGCACTGGAAATAAAACTCAATCTTGTAATGAATCCTAATTTGGTAGTGTTGAATCTGTTGTTAAAATTTGGCCATAAAGAGGTCATTTGTCAATTCACTGGACAAAATTTGTTTCAAAAAAATTTCTTCCTGAAAAATATTTGGTGACTATGGTATACACCTTTGAACTGGAAATTTAATTTCAGAAAAACTGTATTATGTAGGAGTCTTGAGAAATAAGAAACTAATGTTTAATTATTATGTTTTTAATTGCATAATGTTTCTGACATGCATGAATTCAAAAAGGCTAAAAATGTTTTGCTGCTGATTTTCATTTGTATTCAATGTCCAATGCAGCTCACTGCAGTGTCCAATAATAGTCAGCTGGCATTGATGGATTCCAGTTGTCCTGATACTGTTTTTTCCATTGTGGCAATGTCCTAGTGCAGTGTTTCCCAAACTTTTGACATATGTGTACCCCTTCTATAATTTTTGTAACGCTGAGTACCCCTCATAAAAAACATATGCTTTAATAAAAATCAAAATATATTTATTTTTTATTTTTTTTGTACATACACAAAATAAACGAAAGTTATATTATAAAGAACATTTATTTGATTCAATGAGAAGGATGAAATTGTTTATGTTGAGATGACAGATCATCATAATTTGGTTCTCTGGTTGTTAATTTTAATCTGAGATGCAATTCCACATCCAATAGTCTGTTCCTTTTTTTCGACTTAATGTCTACAAATGCAGAAAAAGCAACTTCGCATAAATATGAAGTTGGAAAAGGCAAGATGTATTTCAGGACTTTTTCTGTTAAAACCGGATACACATGTTGCATTTGTACACTCCTTATGTTTATTTCTCAAGAAAGCTAACTCCAACAATTGCTCTTCTTCCGCATTCAACAAACCTTCTGGCATGGATGTTGTGTTAATGTTGAACGGATATCTTATCCATTCAATATTTTCGTTTAAATCAGGGAAATAGTTTTTCAAGCCAACTTGCAAATTCTCCAAATGCTGTATTATGCATTTCAAAGTATCAGCCTCAATTTTAGTAGCCAAACTTGTTATAAACTCATGAAGAGAGGGAAACGAGTCTACTTCTCCATTACCAACTCTCTTTTGCCATAAATTTAGTTTTGTGATGGTAGCGTTCACTTTATCTTGAACGTGAAACAATGAAATTTCTTTGCCTTGTAACGATAAGTTGAGGCAATTTAAAACAGAGAATATATCTGCTAAGTATGCTAGTTTACAAAGCCATTTCCAGTCATGTAAATAATTTCTCAACTCAAATCTATCATTAAGAAAGCATTGAAGTTCATGTCTAAGTTCGAACAATCGGTTTAGAATTTTTCCCCGAGATAGCCAACGAACATCGATATGAAAAAGCAGCTGGGTATGACTACTTCCCATTTCTTCACATATTTGCAAAAAAAGTCGTGCATTCAAAGGGCGGCTTTTAATGTAGTTAATGATTTTCACGCTTTCCTCCAGAACTTTCTGTAGATCAGCGGGCATCTTACGTGTTGCCAAAGCCTCTCTGTGTATGCAACAATGTGTGGATATGACATTTGGAGCAACATTTTGAATTCTTGCAATGAGTCCTTTATTAATTCCGACCATACTTTTTGCTCCATCTGTGCTTATTCCAACACATCTATTCCAATCAATTTTGTTCTCTTGCATAAATGTATTCATAACATTAAAGATATCTTCTCCTGTTGTGTGACCTAATAAAGGCTGGCAAAATAAAAAGTTGTCATGAATTTCTTGATTTTTTTTGTATCTAACAAACGCCATAAGATTTGCAAAATTCGCAATGTCGGTGGACTCATCGACTTGCAATGCATAATAACGACTTTGAGAAATATCAGATAATAACATCTGTTTTACATTATTAGACATATCAATGATTTGTTGATGAACTGTATTATTTGAGAGAGGAATGCGGTCAAAAGTTTGTTTCGCTCTATCTCCTATCATTACTTCTGCCATTATCTTGGCTGCAGGCTTGATTAAAATTTTGCCAATGGTTTCCGCTGCACTACATTTGGCAATTAAAAGTGACACGCGATACGAAGCTTCTAGTATTTTTTGATTGTCACCTCCCGTCAAACCCTGCATTACTTTTTGAGACTGATTTAAACCCTTAAGTTTATTTTCAAAAAAATCTATGGGTTTATCTTTGTACTGATTATGGTTTGTCTCAAAATGGCGCTTTAAGTTGGATGGTTTCATGCTTTCATTTGTTAGATTTTCAAAACAAATGACACAAAGTGGAATAGGCTCATTTTCATCTCCAGTCCATGAGAATCCAAATTTAAGATATTCTTTGTCGTACTTGCGAGTTTTCCTTGCTTTTTTTTTAACAGGTTCTTTCAGAATTGAAATTGATTCGTCGTTAATTTCATTATTTCCTGTTCGTTGATTGCTATTACAATCATTACTTTCTTTCGGTTTAGTAGTTCCAGATTTCAACCAGCGATCCATAATCTCTGTTAGGGATAAAAACTGTATTTTATAAAAAGAATCAAAATCAGTGGAACTTACTAAAGCGATAACAGGCGCCCGGAACTAACTATTAAAGAAGTAAGTTGTCTCTATAACGAAGTGCAGTATATTCATGCCATGTCACGCCTCACAAGATTGTCTAACTGTTGATAACACTGCAATTCTCCGGCTTTTAAACAGCTCCGAGGCTCAACATTAACTGTTAATGTTCCCGCAGTTTAAAAATGGCCGAACCAGAGCTGCGCGAAGGATGCGCAGAAGTTCCCGTCATAATGAGTTGCGATACGATGTATGATGGCCCCAGTTCCCATGTAAAAACTGTGATACGCGCCTATTTCTTTCTTTGTTCTGTGGGCGCAGCTAAGCACGGTGCAGTGGATATTCCATGTGATCCCCACTAAACTCCGGTGCAACGCGTACCCCCACCAAACTCTTCCTGTACCCCTGGGGGTATGCATACCACACTTTGGGAAACACTGTCCTAGTGAAACCCTTCCCCATGTTTATCACAGACTGCACCTAGATTTTCAGCAAAAACATCCAAGTGTAAATGCAGAAAATGAATTTTCAGTGACATATTAAACTTCTTACAGCATAAAAGACCATGATGTGTGTCACTCAGATGAATGTAGATTGGTGTTTTGTAGTTGCCAAAAAAATTCTTAACAACATCCTTGAATGTTTCCATGTGGTTTTCTCTGCCCCTACTAACAGATCTTTGAACGGCTTGTCATTGCTAATGTATCTGATCTGTGGACCAATAAAAATGCTTTTCTTGAAACCAAATTCTTTCAGAGTGGCCATTTCCTTTTAATATAATGTGACTGTTTTTGACAGCTGTCCCATTCAACAGTACCTGCTATATTCAACCTGCCTTCCAAGCATCAGACCCAGTACTTTTAGATCTCCACTGATATTCTAGTTGCACTTGGTGTACTGGATGTGCTTTAACAACAGTTGCAATATTTTCATATATTTCTTTCATGTGTGCAGCATAGCCAACAGGTACTGAACGCTATACATTGCCATTGTGTAAAAACAGGAGTTTTCTATAAAATGGTAAGCGATATGTTAAAAAAACCAGATTATTTTCATAATTAATAGCCAAAAATCTATAAGATACATCCTAAAGTATTCAGGAATAAAAATATCTGTTATCCAGTGAATTGTCAAGGAAAACTGAAATGTTTCTTCATTTTCTTATTATTGTTATTCCTTATATAAAGTTTTTGGTGATTTATTATTTTCTATATATCTATTCCATCTGTTTATCCAGGTAAAAATGCAGCATAATACTATTGGCATATTTCATATTGGACAATAATCAAATTAGTTTATTCAGAATGTTGTTATTTAGTATTCTTAAGTTCTATAATAAATTTGTAGGTATGGACACACAAGATCAGATACTGTGAAAAAAGTAATACTTCTGAATGTTGCTAGTTCTGCTTCATATATTATCTCTTGTGACAAACAGCTGTTTAGAATGATAACACTGCTGGGATATATCAGTTGGACTAATTATTTCAGTGAAACATAATATTTGTAAAGAAACCCTAGAAAAACAGTGTGAAAAGGAACAGATGAGCTTGATTGTGAAAATGAGCATAAGAATTACTTTTATCTTCTGTATATTATGAAATTTAAAAAGACACACATTAAAGCTGTCTGGTAATCCACAGAGGCCCCAGTCCTACCAACAGAAGTTAGCACATTTTACTGAAAAGACACTTCAGGGTAATTTTAGCCATCACATTTCTTTTCAATGATCTATAGCCTTTGTTTAGTAATACTAAATATTTAGATTCTCATATGAAAGAAAACAACCAAAATGCTATAAACACTGCAACCTGTTATTGTGACTTGAAAAATAACTTTCCAACATTATGTTCGATTTCCAGATTGCAGTTAGCTTATGTTATTTTATACTGCAGTACTGGTGCAATGGCATAGCATAGCATAGTATAACAAGAATGTTGCACAAAAGACTTAATTGTTTGAGGGAGAAGAGGAATGAAAAGGAGAAAACATATGTTCAGCTGATTGCGCAATTTGCTTCCAAATGCTACACTATAAAACTCAGCTTGGGTGAAATACTAGAAATAACCATCAAGATCACTGTGTTCTTTTTTAGAAAATAATTATGCAGAAATGGGAGAAAGGTCTAGCTCACAACATTGAACCTGGGCAAGACTCTTTTTCTATACCAAGTCAAGGTACCTCAAAGTCAATTGTCAGGTAAAGTTATTTTAATTAATGATGCAAACAAACAGTCATCTTTCTATAAGTATTGTCTAGTCATAATGTATTATGTATAACTATGTTTCATAACACACTAGATAAGCTGCCTGAGACAATTGTCTTGCTATATCTGATGTTAGGAATGACTTCTTTAAAAGTTTAAAATTAAGAGGTTAGAAATTTAATGTTCTATAATTTTAAAAAAGATTTGAGCTACTTAATGATGTAGGGAATAATTTTGTATCAGAGTAACTATGCAGAATATTGACTGGTTTCTGGGTAGAACAGCTGAATGAGCTTAGAAGAGGAAGAATATTCTAAATTGCCTTTATGTTCTTGTCTTTCCTTGAATACCAGTGGTCTTTTTTCACAAAACCATTGTCTTCTTTTAGGAACCATTGGCATTATTCTTCATTATCTTCATTTGCCCTCACTGGCATGATTTGACTCTGCTATCAAATCAGCAACTAATGAAGCTGTAAAGAGATTTACTTTGGATTCTAGAAGCATTGCCATGCCATGAACATTTCGACCTCCTTTCCTTTTCAATACTCAGAAAATGTGAAAAAGAAAAGCACATCCACATGGAAGAAAATGTTTAGGAAATTTCAGCTCAGCAGAACTACACCAAAAATATTCTGAAATCCAATAAAGACAAAAATTACTTTTAAGTTAGAAATTATATCTCTAACTGTCTTAAATATATCTTTATGAACTCTATATTTCTTATACATTAAGGCCATTCTCTAAAATTTCATGTTTCTTCATACTACTGAATATGAATTTCTTCATATTACTTAAATTATAAAAACTCTAGTCAGTTCACAGTCCTTAAGCCATTGTATTTCTTTAAACCAGTGTGTTTATTTTTGTGTAGCCATACAAAAATATGTATGGCTATAAGTGGATATGACACAAATTTATGCCTCTATTTCATTTGATTCTATTTGTTCCTAAAATTATTTAATATAATGTCTAAATGAAATAGCTGATAACATATTAATTTATGTCTTGTTATTAACCACTTTACAAGACAAGTGTTATAGATATATACTTTGTTGATCACCATCCATAAGGTGACCAACTGTCCTCCTTTAGGTAGGAACTCCTTTTGTGAGTTCTGTCCTCCCTCGAAAAGTGTCCTTCTACATGTTCTCCTTTTCGATATTTAAAGACTAATCTGCATGGCTTTTTTTCCCTTATAAAACACTCAGAACGGCGTTCCGGCATCTTTTTTTGATGTTTTTTTTTTCAACTTTTGCATGAGCTGTGCTACTCCCCCTATTGGCTTTCGAAAGCCAATAGGAATTGCTGCTGAGCACACCAAAACACCCAGCCGGCAAACTAAGTTGTCTACAGTGAAGGCGAATTGGCAGGAACTTTGCATCCCTCCCTGCTACCCAACTACACCATCTCCTACTTAGTCCTGAAGATATGTGGAGGAAACTGGAGTGGCGATGTCACAGTAACTTTCTCTTGATCTTCGGCCCTGCTAGGGCAATAATGGCTGTGGGCGCAAGAGTCAGGGCCGTCGGGGCTGCTGTGGGCGAGGGTGTGAGGGGTGGCAGTGGCTGGCTGCCCCCCATGCTGTGGGAGCCGCGAGGCCTGCTCTACATGGGACTGCGCAGGGTGTGCGGTAGTGCCTACTCTACACGGTGGGGCAGCAGTGCTGGCGGGGTGGCTGCGGGTGGGGGCATGGCATGTAAGCATAATTACAATATAAAATGTTATTGTTACAAATGTTTTTATTATGCATTTATCATATTATAGTGTATTCTGTATTATTATTGCAATGAATAAAATGTTTCTTTTATTTACGATATTTTTTTCTACAATTTATTTGTGTCCTCCTTTTCATTGTAAAAAAGTTAGTCACCTTACCATACAGAATGCAGCTCATGAAGATTAACAATATAAAACTGGTAATTCTTTCACAGTAGTGCATTAAATGAAAACATTCACTTCAACATGCTTATTAAACGACTTCAAAATAGTACTAATTTACTGAGCAGCTAGTCAAGAAAGAATAGTGGAAGCAAATTATTTAAGTGTCATTGCTTTTGGCCAGCCTAAAAATCATTGGTTAGATATGTGCATGGATGCTCACTTTTTGTTGCTCACTCTATCTGGTTTATTGTAAAGAAATGCCAGCACTGTCAGTTTTCGTACAATAAGAACAGAATATCTTGTCTAGGTATTTATCTAACTGTTCATATGGTACAGGACAGAAAATGCCATTATATTCTATAATATTATAATATTATATCTCTATATGTAGTACAGCTGTGGAGCTCATTCTGTTTAAATCTCCTCAATTATTTATTCATTTATTTTTAGTAACCATCACATTACATATGATATTAATCAATACCACTCTGCTGACATGGAAAAAATAATAACATCTTGTAATTGAAGAAGCCCATAAATGAATCTCTTTCTTACAGTATGTCTCTTCAAATTGATCAAAAATAGTTTGACATTTAAAGAATAATATTTACTTTCTTAAACATTTTTAAAGAAGATGTCTGAAATCCTAGGGAAATGACTCTGTTTTTCAAATATGTGAATATTTTACACATTTTGCAATAATAAATAAGTTTAGTCTGTTTCCAGCCTGCATGTGTTACCTTCCCTTAATGCTTTATTTCTATTTTGTATTACTGAGCAGAACAGCTCTTGAAAGAGAGCAGCCATACTTAACAATTCAGGTACTTTTTCTTGTGCTTTGCTCAACCAAACTTCTAAGTAACATGTAACTTTCAGAAATCTTAGGTATGGCCATCAAATGTCTCCAGAATATGTTATCAAGTTTGTGACAGAAGAAAAACAAACTTTTTACATGTTCCTGAATTATTAGATCAAAGTACTTCTTTGTAAACTATGTTTAAATAAAACAGAAGTATTTTTGTTTCAACCCCCTTCTTTTGCATTTGAAATATAGTTCCCAGCTTGGGAAAACCAACCAACCAATCAACTGTACAGTCCTGTTTGGAAAACCAGGTAAGAGAGACAAACAGGCAAGAAACATTTTCTTGTTTTACAGTAGTTTTTCAGTGTAATATTATGAAACTAGCTGGGAAGTAATGAACCTGGTTTCCCCTATGCAACCTTCATTTAAGTTATCAGATGTTCTTTTTCATTATTCTAAATCTACATAAAAAATATCAACACAACTGGGTTTTCACTATGAATTGTTTGCCCTGGCAAAATTAGTAGCTCTCATCTATCTATGCTGAAAATAACAG